GTTGTTAAGTGAGTTATGAACATTTTTAATTTACGCTATATTATATTTGCATAATTATTAAAAAATTGAACTATCGTAAAAGGCCCACATACACTGATAATTGTCTTACCATCAAGTTTCATAATAACTCTAACTTTTAAGCTAACAGAGCTAAACGTGATCTGCTGAGCGTAAATTTGCTATGTTCCGCACTTGTCGGACGGAGACAACAAATTACCGTGTACTCTTAACAAGAATAACATTGCTAATATGATATTCAATATCCGAAACAGATAGAAACTCATAGAAGTAGACAGTGGTGTAGGTAAAAATATAATTTTATTATGATTTATACAATTAATATATCTAACATAATTGCAAGTGTTAAATACTAAGTTATGTTGATTCAAATTATTAATTAAGTTTTGTAAATTTATCAAGTGTCAATCGCTTAAAAAATTGTAATCCCGATGCACGCTCAATTACCTCCAACGGCATCTGAAAAACATTAAAATAATAACATAACAATTATAATTTTATTAAAACGGTTCAAGAACGTTTTCTTTCATTCGTTGATTATGTTTCAAAAAATTCTCACACTCCTCATAATTACACATCGGTATCTGAATTTTGAAACTTATCTAACCTTGAAATCAGAAGAAAAATGTTAGACATAAGACTTATTAATAATTTAGTTCTAGGTTAGATCGATGATAGCCGTCTCAATAAGATTAAATTTAAGGATAATATTTCATAACCTCAAAATCAGCACTTGTAAAACTAACTATTTATGTAACAGCCATATCCAAAGAACCATATATGTATAATTAACTCGGACCTTAGCATTGGAGCAAATAGGGGGGGGGGGGCTTGGGGGGACTTAGTCCCCCCAAATGTCAGTCAAGTCCCCCCAGTTCAAAATCTAGTAATTAGTACTAATTTTTATATTCTGTATTTCTGTGTTAATAAGCAATATGGCCTATGGGGAGGGGGTCTTGAGTCCCCCCCAAAAAATGTAGTCAGTTTGCGCCTATGGACCCTAGTCTCTTAGATTTGTAGTCCAAGTGAAGTGTAAGATAAATCTTAGACTAGGACCACACAAATACACAATGTTTTGTTATCAATTTGATAATATGTATTTTTACTATTCATCTGCTGGCCTTTCACTATTTTAACTGTAGGTATACTATTATTATTATTAATTTTTACTTATAAAATTGAATTGTTATTTTTAATATTTACCAACCCTTATGTGTTTTTCTTTGTAAATTTCTACCAGCAAAGAATGAAATAAATAAACACATTTTTAATTCATAATGGCATAATGCACTCTTTAATATAGATTAGTTGCACATAATACAGTGGTTCCCAACTCAATACTAAGCGCAGACCACTTTTGTAAATTTTCCACCGTCAAGGACCACAACTTAAATTTTACCCCCTCCCACTATACTTCTATGGTTTAATTGGTCTATACCATTTATTTTTTATAAAAGGTATATATTAAAAATCAGAAATACAGTTTATATTGTTGAAAAATATTTTGACTAATTTAGTAAAAAAAAAAAAGGTGATACAAGTTCAAATGTTATAATTTAATATAAATAAATTGTATATACCTACATAAACTGTATATAAATTTTTATCGATCTGTCTACCATATTAACCATTAACAATTCAGATACAATGGAACAATTATTTACACCAAATCGTAAGTACTATGAAATACAATTTCGCTAATTTTTTATTCTTAAATTTTTAAATTAAAAAAATATAGTCGTAACAAACATTCTTTGACATCGTGGACCACTTGAGATGTGCCCACGGAACACCAACTGGGAACTACTGGCATAATATGATTCAAATTTTCCAAATTAGTACTACCAAACACTGCTTTTAAGAGGACGTGGTACCCACTATCCATATGTGTTTTCTCTGTCTTACAAATGCAAACATAGCAAATTTTACGATCAGCAGATCACGTTTAGTGAAATTAGTTTAAAAACTAGAGAGAATTGACCTCTTATAAAATTTAAAGGTAAAATTATTATTTGGGTTATCTTATAGGCTTTTATTATATTTTTATTTTAAAGCAAGTTATTAATATTCTAAGATGTACAAACAATTTACAATTTTAAAATACTCATAACTAGCTCTAAAATTAAAATATAATACAACACCTAAGATAATAATGCCCTGGATAATAATCTTTCCTTTAAATTGTATGAGAACTTATTTCACTATAATTTGAGAAACTAATATGGTTATAATCATTGTTGTGAACGTAAAATTTGCTATGTTGAGCGTGGGTCTGAGAAAGATAACATAATATACTACGCTGACATCCTCTTAACTTATTTTCAACTACTAAATTTAATTTAATTGTAGAAATTACTTGAAAGTCTTTTAACGGTATATCGTCAGGAATCACTTGATTTGGCATTATATAACATTCTAAATAAAATTTAGACTCTGTACTTTCAGTGACAATAATTTTATAAAAATGAGTAGGAACAGCAACGTGATTGTCACCAATTACTTGATATTTGATCCATAATTTTCCATCATCTCCTTTTCTAAAAAAAATTTTTGTTTTAATAAACAGTGTATATCTAATACTTATTTATGGACATATTAGTTTCATTAATTAAAATAAAAATTTCATAATTTCTTACTTAGGCAAAAAAAGTGGACCTGAACAAATATAAATATTTTTATTATGTTTTGCCTTTTTTCTAACATATTTTTCTAAATTATTCCAAGCTGATCGGTTGAATCCTTTACCAACTTGTGGAGCAATATTTGATAAGACAAATGTTTGTTTTATTAATTCTTGACTTGATTTATGATTTCCAGCTGCTGCTAGATGTCCACGGTCAAAACCACTATTCTTATAATCTTTATTTGTAGCTCTATAAAATATATTTTGTAAATAAATACTTTATGTTATAAGATAAAATTAAGATAAAAATAACCGATAAAACTCATGAATTGAGTTATCTTCATAAAAGTCACATGACGCTCTATCTACATTAGGATTATACTGTATGCTTTCTGGTGTGAGATGTTCTAGGACCCAGTGGGGTATACGGTTCCTTTGGTCATAAGAAAGAACAAAATTCTTATACGAACGTACATTATCCAAACTTGGAAATCCATATTTCATAATCTTAAAATATAATATACATAGGTATACGAAATGTGCATAGGTAATTAAACTCAAAATACAAAAAACATACTAGATGGTAAATAATAAGAATTATAATTAATGTATTGAAATATGTATATTTTACCTGAGATATTCGCTGTTCATTATTAACAATTAGTTCCTGATTATTGGCAACAATGCCATCAGCGTACACTGCATCAAATATTTTAAATCCTGGTATTCCATGCAATGCATTTAATTCCCTATATTTTCTATCCATCCATATTCCAAGGCAAAAACTTGAAATACCAACAACTGCAGTAATATGTCTTGAAAACATTTCGAAAATCTAATAGAAAATAATCTCATTGACCTATGTCAATGTCGAATTATAATTTGAATTTGTTCTAAGAAAAGTTCAAAATGGTTTTATGGCTGTTTAATGTTTACTTGTCGAACTGTCGAAGTCTTCTTGATTAAGTGATTTGTTGTTATATTTCAAAAATGTAACTGATAACACGAATTGATAAAAAAAACATATGGCAAAATTAGGTACCTATTTATAATTTTATATTCTTCATTTTTCAGTGATGGTTCTTAAATGCGGTGGACTACTGGACTGTCCGACTGTGCCATCGACCACGGTGGTCTACTAAAATTAAATATTTAAATATTGTCCGATATCAAAAATTTCCGAAATCAAAAATATGAAGGTAGAAATTAAATAAAAGAGGGCTAAAATGCACTTTACCAACCCTCTCACGGGGGTGTAAATTTTCAATTTTTTATACATTTCAACTTGTTTTTTTATGCTTAAAACGATGGTGTACATTTTTTTACCCGAATCTATTATTATAGAAGTTATAGCTTTCCAAAGTTTGTGATCTTACGTTTATGTGCTTGTGCGCAACACTAGGTACCTACCTACTTGATTAAACAAGTAGGAAATTTAAAAAAAAATTGAAAATCGTGAGGGGGTTCGGGGCTGGTAAAGTGCATTTGTTTCTAAAAGAGGAATATAAATAAGTTTATTAATTTTTATTAATTAGTTAAATTAGGTCTAACAGAAATTGGCCACATTCAGCAAAGATAAATAAAATGTATGTTCATTTCTAAGAAAAATAAAAAAATATATTTTCAGACCATAGGCGCAATTTGGGTTAAATTTATGTCGACTAAAGTGGTCAGTGGAGGGCTCAGCCCTTTCATACAACTTAATTTTTTACTCTTTATTCGCATTAATCTCAATATTAAGTATAAAAATATGTAAGTTTAAAATGAATAAAGTTTTTGATTTCCACCGTCTTGAATGCAATTAGTTGTACCAATATTGACTTAAGTTTTTTTTATACATTTAATATGTATAAATAATTTTTTTAAGAATTGACATGAACCAATATATATTATAATTGGCTGAAATAAATTACACTATAATTTAACATTTAAATGTAAATATGATTTACATAACTAATACCTCATATTATATTATAATCTAAATAAGAAAAATAATAAATATAATAAACTACAGTCCACAGAGAAATAAACAAATTAAAAATGCACTAAATAAAATAACCAACCAAATTATGCATAAAATTAAAAAATCTACTAAGGGTGACTAGAGAACTTAAAATAAAAATGTAATCTTCTAAATATGTTGCTAAAATATTTCAGTCTAATTAATTCTAGAATTACAGTTATACATAAAAAATTATATTCAAGTTTCTCTTCTTTATTTGATTACTTTCTTATTTGAATCTAAAAAACTAAGATATGATAATATTGAACAGATATTTTTTAAACAAGAATATATGTACATATGAGACACATTATTACATAAATAATTAAAAATATTATAATCTAGGTTACTAATCATCTAAGTTAATTTTTCATATACAGTCCATGTCATTGCAGCCATTAAAGATCGTCTTAAAACTCGAAGAGACAGTCCTTTAAAATAGCCAGATATTCCATATTTCTGAAAACAAGTTAATCATTTGAATTGCTTGTAATTAATTTCAATAATAGTATGTCCCTACTTGTTTAATTAAAACAATAGCATCAATTAAATGAAGCTTTTCTTTTGATACTTGCTGACTAGTTTTTATTACATCAAATGGTTGAGTTATACAGGATGCTAATCCTCCGGCCAGAAGACCACATCCAAAAATATAAAATGGTTGTTTGTTGTCTAATTCTAATTGAACAAAACAATAACATTATTTGATATATTATTTATATAATATATTGATTTTAATTATTTTTTATGAAAGTGAAAAATAGTATTCAAGAAGCAGCACAATTAAGTGACATGTACAGACTTTTGGATTTGTGTGTGTGTATAGCGAGGGGGGCCTATATTTGTTTCTGATCAAAATGATTGAAAATTTAATTCGAGGTAAATAGAAAGCATTTATTTTAATATTTTAAAACTATCTAAAACACATAGGCAGGCCTATTTTTTTTTATGAGCATTTGAAGTTTAAATTTTGAAAAATCTGTTAAAATCACATAAAAATTGTAAATTAGTTTGTACTTAAAAAATGAACAAAATCTTCCTCTTAAGGAGTTCTAACATTATAAAATTAAGTTTAAATTATCAAATACATATAGATACACATTTTTTATAGGTGATTAACTTCAAATTTTGACAAAATAGGTTCCCACCGCAACTGGGGTTCACAGATGCCCGATTTGTGTTTCTCATTTAAATCAGAGTATTAACTATACAAGACATTAGTATAATAGTATATAATATGGGTTTGTAAAAAAAACTTTGTTCTATAAAGTTATTTCTTAAAAATGTTCGTCCTTGTTTATGAAACACCCTATACAGGATGAAGAGTACATTCTAAAAATGAAATAACTTTTGTTCACATTAATATTTTAAAATTTTTAAATATACAATTTATTGACTTGTGGTACATGTACCTATATTATAACATTTTTATTTTTTAATACTGAAAATATAAAATAAAAAATCTGACAATACAATTCAAAATAGCCAATTAGTAAGCATGGTTTTTAGAAAACTTTTGACTGTAAAAACATTTATTTGACACATAATATTATAGTAGTTTATTTTTTAAAATGTTTAAAATCTAATTAGTTTTGTTAAATAAAGTTGATCTAATCTTAAAACCATTTTAAATTCCAAAAGTATAAACTATTTTTCAAAATATTACGAGAATTTTAAATAGGTATTTGTAAAAATCTTAATTTTTAAAAAAAGCTTTTACATTTAAAACGAATGTCTTATTTTAAATAAATCATAAAAATAAACCACTTGACTGAGATGAATGTTTTTAGTCAAAAGTTTTCTAAAAAAAGATTTACAAATGGGTTATTTGAATTTTTCAAAAAAATGTAGATCAAATTTTAAATCTTTTACTTTTAGTATTAAAATAGGTACTAAAATAAAAAATGTAAAATAATACATGTAGGTAGTGTGTACGTCAATAAATTATATAATTAAAAAAAATAATTAATAAATATTTATTAGAATAAAAGTTACTTAATTTGTCACGTCTTCCTGCTACATCCTGTATATTATATTCAAAATGTATCTATTTTTCTTTTAATATTGATCTTAAGCCCAGAGACTATGACAATTAGCGGGGGTTAGGGGGTTATGAACTACGAACCCGCGGGCCCGGGGGGTGGTCACCCATTCAAGGGCTAGTAGCAGCGGGCGTTACTTACTCTCAGTCGCATTGGGAGCTAACGCACCACGCCAAGCCACAAAACATTTTTTATAATATATATAAAAATATAAAACTCCTCACTATATTAATTAATTTTGCAATAGGTACTTGCCTCCTTGTAATGTTATATTTTTTAATTTGATAAAAATCATAAAATATAATGCAGAAAATGGAGCATCTCGTAAAATTGTTGGTGTCCATCCACGACACAAAACTCTCCAACCTTCCAACCTATACATATCAGATAGGGCACGGGTTAAAGTCGTATAACTATACTGTCCACTCTGAAAATAAATGTCATCGTTTTAGAATAATCAATACTTAAGTAAAAAGGAAAATGTAATTAAAATGTATACAACGTATAGGTACATAAGTTACTTACTTACTTCTACTCTAGTTTTTAAAACAGTGAAAGGCATTAATACAGAAACAGTAATACATCGTGCACTAAATCCAGCTATACCGGACTTCACCATAGAAGTCTGATTGTTTTTTGTTAGATATGAATATATTAACTGTGTAAGTGATATATGAATGGCAATTCCTGGAATATTGCGTACAAGAGACTAAAAATATAAAAACTTAGTAATTAAAAGTGTATAGAATAGAAAGCCATAAATACTACGATTATATAATTTTAGGTAGGTACATAAATTCAAAATGTATACATAATTATTATTTATTACTTTAATTATTAAATTATGTTAGATTCAGTAGCGGGTCCATTTTCCTCCAAAATAAAAAATGTTTATAGATTCCATTTTTTCCAAATATTAAAATATTAAGCCAATATTATTAAAAATAAAAACCAAATATATTTATGTAGGTAGCTCAACAGGCACGGATTCAAGGGGGGCTATGGGTGCTCGGGCACCCCCTGTCGTCTAAGGCACTCTAAGCCACTAATAAAATACATTTGTACTCAAAATTTTAAAATGGAAAGGTGTAACCATTTTTTTTTTAGATTCTGAGTTGAGCGATGTGTATTTTATACATTTTTAAATTATTTTTTTTTGTTTTTGTCATCACCGTATTTGGGGCAGTACAACAGCTTCGATTTTTTTCATCAGTACCTATCACCTATCAAGGTGTCACCTTGTATAATTTTACCAATCTAAAAAGATTTAAAGTTCTAGCTCCACCTGATCCAACGTATTGGCCTTCGTCTTCCCGGAAAAACCCTGATATTCTAGATATTTTTGTGAACAAAATACCAAATAACTTATTTAACACTACTAACAATTTACTTGATTTAAATTCAGATCACTCATCAGTGCTCTTAACTCTCAATACTTCCCCAACTTATAAAGAATCCAATAAACTATTTAATAAATTCAGAGATCATTCCAAGTTTACCGAAGTAGTCGATAAAGAAATAAATTTAAATATAAAACTAAAAACTCCCGACAAGGAATAAAATGTAATAAAACAACATATTTTACGCAAGTTGATTACGGTGATACGACATTTGACGACCAACATAATTGACGTTTCCGCTTTTGCCCTTTTTCTCACTGTTGGGGTCTGGCGGGATTGGGGAATGTGCATAATTGGTGAGAATTTGAGGTCTAGCTAGTCAATAGTGACCTAATAACTACTAAGTAGTAACAAGGAATCAAGGTCAATATATCCATACATAATATAAGGATATTCAACATTTTTTAAATACTATTGATAATTTATTAGAAAATAGTGTAATCACTGTAATCTACGTAATTGTATTATTTTACATATTAACTTATATTATTTGACTATATAAAAATTTCATGATTGTGATAATTTATAAAAAATTTTCGAAATGTTAAAATTTGGATATTTTGACCGATTACCGTAATAATTATAAATGTATAACTATAACGTAGATTTAAATAAATCATGCAGCCCACACGATAGACCAGAGTTGGGATTTTATAGAATTTTTATATTTCTATAATGAGATGCTTAAAAAATAGCAAAGGAAGCTAAAAATATGTATCATGATACAACGAACTCAAATTAATAATTTTATTTTGTTTTTTTTGGACTTTTTAAGCATTCTTACCTGTTTTTGAATCAAAATTGATCATATTTTAGTAGGTAAATGAGTTTTTACATTTTTGTCAATTGAATTATTACGATAATTTCTTATTAAGTATTTGGTTCTAATTTTTGTTATTTACTGATTTTGTTGGTTTTTTTTTGTCGATTTCTACTACAATTATTAATCGCCGACTATCAACGAACGAGTTGAATGCGTTGTAGGTATAGTCAATTCATTTGGACCACCTATTTGGAGTCTGATCAGAGTGACCAAATTATTTCAAATATCATAAGTGACTCCTATAATAATTTGTAAGTGATTAAAAATTATTAATTAATAAATTTCCTTTTTTATTGCATATTTTTAGCGCATATTTAGCAATATTTAAGGTAATATTATACCTCATATTTATACAATTTTAAGTGCTATAAAATCCTTACCCTGCCTTAGACACTAGACAGACATCCAGAGAGCCGACAGGCCGTATAAAAATCACACGTGACATAAGTTTACCTTTAAAACTTAAAGGTATAAACTATATAGGTACCAACAACAAATTATTGATATCCGAAATCCAAGTATGATTAACAATAAACATATTATATATTTATATCGTAGGTAGGTATTAATATTTATCGCATTATTATTAAATGTGAATGATACAAATGAAAATATTTTTATATAACTATAAGGCAATACTATAAAAGTAAAATAGCTAATCCGTTAAATTCTTAAGAATCATAATAATAGACTAACATAGACCACATGTTTTGGAGGTTTGAAGTATAACCATGGTAAATTAGTAAATGCTAAATAATGAGTATTATGCACTAATTATGCACTTAATCCAGTCAAATGTATTCGTACCTATATATTGTTTGATGTGTGGAAAACGGAAGCCCGAATTACTTCCGGTATGGAATGTGTGAACGACTATGTGCTACAAATTAAACTTTTTTTTTTAAATTGTATTTAAACTTCAGTACTTAACAGGTGTTTCCTGGAACACTCATCTCATCGCAGCTTCTTGCAGCAATTGCCTAGGATACTATACTATACTCATATAATGAGTACCTATATTTAATATAATTTAATATTATAAATTAATAATTATCAGAACTAAGAAGTTAAAATGTAAAACACTGTCTGCCAGACCATCTGGTACCATCTAGTAAACGGTAAAAAGTCCGAGAAAAAATAATTTAAAAAAGGTACTCTGCTGTACAGTAGGTACAAAGGGGTCACTGTATAATGGATGGTATTAAATTTGAATTCAATGATACATCATTGTATAAGAAAAACGATTCTGAGAGGAGACGGTATGTCAGTCTAGGTATAAGGCATATTACATACAAATGGGAAATTGAAAATATCCCTAAACAGTTCAAAACAAATCAAAATATTTTGAAAATTTTATCATGAATATAAAATGGAAATATAAACAACTAGTGAAAATATCATGTATCTACGGTCATTTGTTTTAAAGTTACACCAAAAACCAAAGTCGATTTTATGAAAAATCAATTTTGCGTAGAAATTCCAGTTTTTCCTTAATTTTTCTTTTGTTCTTCTTGGCGCTTTTGAAAATTACTGGGAATTTTAAATTTTGACCTCCCCAATGCACCAACAATATACTGAAGTTGAAAATAGAAGCATTATTTCGACTACTTATCGAGTACACAGACACAAAAAAAAAAAAAAAATATAAAAACATTCATCATTCACGACATTGTAAAATCAATACATTGATCGTTTCACTCAGAATTTAAAAAATATATTTTATTAGGTATATACAATATACATAGTTATTAATTATGTATTAATCATTATCATAATTCATAACTTTCATTTTAAAATTACTCGTTCATTAAATTATTATATTAAAATCAGTTCGTAAAAAATTAACAAAAATATATTTTATTATTTATTACTAGTATAGCTAGGTATATAAATTAATTTGAGTATACAGGGCGATTAAAAAAAAATACTATTTAATAATAAAACATTTTTGTTTGATAAGTTTTTACGAACTAACTGTAATTAAATTTTTTTATTTTTATTCAGCAACTAATATATATTTAAATAATTTTTTCTCGGACTTTTTTTCCTAATACATCTATCTCATGTCGAAAACCACTTATCTAACGCCTTTACGAGTCACAGCATTTGCTACTCAGTAGATAGTAGTATTATACTATAATAGTAGACACTATAGGCACTAGGCAGTTTTAAATAGGAGGTAACGACAGTTGTTATAACTTGTAGCCTGTAGGCACAAATGCACAATGAAGTAGGTAAGTTAAAAATAGTAGGTATCAATATTAGGAAAAAAAAGCTTAACCTGAGGGTCGAAAAAGATAGTTTGGGTCCCCAAAAATAATGAACAAATGGTTATTCATCAGTCATAACAAAATATATTGTTTTAAAAATCAATCTAATTATTTCATATTTGTTCAGTACGAATGTTCAATAGCATGTCAAATAAAATAGCGTAGGTATATTATTATCTTATCTGACGATGGATTATTAATTATAATATACAAGTGATTGTGGTCGATCAATATTAATTTTATTTGGTTATGTTTACACTCGTAGCACGTACACAGTAGGTACTTACTTCAACAATTTTAGTCACAAATATATTATTAATAATCAGTTTCTACTTTGTTGTCATTAATTGAGTAATATGCTAAAACATATTGCATGCAATACATACAATCAATTTTGTTCTATACAGCCTACCTGTTAATGTGATTTTCTTAATATCGATAAATTATTCATATTATATTATTTATTTTTTGAAGGGGTCGCATTAAAAAAAAAAAAAAAATTGGGGTCGTGATTAGAAAAAAGTAGAAAACCACTGCGTTAAACAATATTTCAATAATAGCAACGTAATAACACATTACATTCAACTACAAACCAATAATTATTAAACTCAATAAAACCGCAACTAATCAATAAACAAATGCTAGAATAAGATTATTAACTTAGTCTATATAACTATACAAGATAACTTGATAACCTACCAAAAAGTGTCAAGTAATTTATTTACACAAAATACTTACACATAACTTGATAAAATAAGCGCAATCTTCAAAAAAATGTATTCAATTTTTTTATTTACATTCATATAAATGAACATATCATAAATGCATAAAATTAATCAAACTTAAACATTTTTTTACTAAGAAATAATCGAATAGCGGATAAAATTCTTTCAAAATTTTCTGGATTGCTTATTGTTAAATTATAATTTTGTCTATTTTGTTGACATTTGTTTTACTCATAAATAATAATTATACAATCATTTTTACAAAGAAAATCAACATTAGCTAATAATTTGTGAAATTCTACATTAATATTTTCTCTGATGATCTGAATTTGGTCTTCAATGTAGTTTTCAAAGCAGATTTTAAATCTAGAATTTATTTTGAAGAAAATGCAGTTATTGGAAAACTCATTCCAAGTATTTTTATTAGTCATCTACTATTATTTATGATTGAAATTTGGAAATTTAATCGTTTCAGGGTATTACTAATTTGATTTTCTGAACTAAAAGTATCAGCATCTTGCCAAAAATGTATTGAATACAATCGTCAATCAGTGGCTGATTTACAGGGGGCCAGTCCAAGGGGTACTGGACGTTTGGACCCCCCCACCCCCACATAGAAAACATGTTGAAAAACCGGTTACTGAATACAATTACAATTACAATTACAATTACTGAATACATCTAAAACAGTTTGTTGAAATAATAATACAAGCGTCATGGCTCATGACGATCTACACATCAAGTAGTATAATATAGTTGTTTAAGCTTAAATTATTTAGTAGTTAGCGGGGAAAATTCTTCTATTGTCCATATTAAGTAAAATATGTACTTAGCCTTTTTGGATACCCAAATAAATTGCATAGTTTGAATTGTACCCATACAAATCCTAATGTCTAGTAATTTACAGCTAAAAGTGATTCCAAATTTAAGTTATGAGAGTACCTATACCTACAATGCAATTATAATAGATAATATTATGTTTTTGTGCTCCATTACATCTGTCACTTATGGCTGGGAATAAAAAGAGTTACACTGGGCAAGAAAGGTATTATTAACAATAATAAAAAAGAGTGATAGCATAAATATAGACCTATAAACAAAACCTATAAATAAGGCCTATAAATACAAACCTTTCTTAAACAAACGTTTGATCACTATACTTGTTAAAAACCTGAAGTACTAATGGTTTATTTCTAAAATAAGTATCTAACTAATAATATAATTTTAGTTTAAATAATTATCTATTAAGTGATTAAATATTTATTTTTACTAACCAAAGTTTATAAATATTTGTTATTGATTAAAAATTGTTACTTTGGTATTATTATTATAAAATATTATTTATTTTATAGTTCAATTAAATCACCAAACATTATTTAAGAATACTAAAATTTTATGGTAAAGTTCTATAGAGGATATTTTAAATATAACAAAGTAGATTAAGTAAAATATAGATGCCTTTAATAGAATATAAAATACAAATAGGAAGGTACTTACCGGAGACAGTCCTCTCCAAAATCCATAATAAGATTCTTGCTGCCAGACAGACTTTGTGGCATTGATTATTCCTAATTTATTGTCACTAATAATACAATGTTGTTAAATTATAATACAAACATATTTTATTTTTTAACAGTCAGCTTCAATTACTTTCTAGGGTTTTGTAAGACTGTTTTGACAACGTCAAAAGGTTGAAATAAAACTGTAGAGAATAATCCAGATGTAGAACCGGCAATAAATGATTTTAATATCGGATGCTATAAAATTATGATATAACTTATTATAATTTAAAAATAAAGTACATAAAAATATATCAAAGCTACTTACTTCATGAACAAACTTGTTAATACTAATATTATTATTCCGGTTTGATCCATTAATATCAAAAGTAGACTCCATATTAAGTTGTGAAGTTGTTTATTGATTTAAAACTATATAAACATTTGAAATCTTTGAATTTTAACTGTTCTACGTGGTTCACTAGGTATTAAAATTTAAAATTCAACATTATGACTACCTATTTAGTTTATTTGTCAGTAATCTCTAATCAGTAGTCCACATTGTTATCAGTATTTAATACCTACTATCAAAATGTGTTATTGAATCGATAACAATATCGAATGTGATAATTTCGAGTTTACCACACGGCGTATACAAGTAGAGTATACAGATTACAGGAGAGAAACTTGCGGTTCAGATCCCCTCCCATTGTTTTGGAGCGGATAATCTCCCATATTGTGTTTGATGTGAATTTTGAATCAATTCAAATTATATTCATTGTTCCCTGTTAAATATTTTATGACCTAAGTAAAAAGTTTTGAGAGGGTGGGGGGATTTTTCCATCCTATTTAGCTATGTCGAGGTCGTTTTCTTTTTATGATCCCCCCACGAATTAAAATATATCTTAATTAAGGTACATCTCAATTCGTGATTCCCCCCTTTTGAGAAATCATGTCTACCCGGAAGTAGGGTACGCAGGAGTGTAGTTCGGTTAGAATTTTAGGTACCATGAGTAAACAATTTACATTATTTTTTGCTAACAGTTTTTATATAATTGGTTGTAACTTATAAGTTATAAGTTATAAGTTACTAGTTAAGTTTTTTTTTAAGGGCATATTTAATCGCATATTTTTAATTTTTTGATGCATAAGTGCATATTTTTAAATGCATATTTGATGATTTTTTAGTGCATGAAAGTCCTTGCTCTAGTGATTACTGTCGACATTTTCCTCTACCAAAAATTATAATCGATGCTACTGGATCTGTTATTAGTAATTTAAAAAAATATGATAGGTATAGAAAAAACAAAATTTTTATTTATGTATGTGAATCTAAGTACATAAAAGTAGATTTATTCCTACCAATATAATATGCAGATGTGTATATGTATCATATGCATGATACAAATTTGAAATATGTTTACGATAATAATGCAGTCTATATTATGTACCTTTCAGTGCGGTGAGATCAAAAACCAGTGAGTGACTATTCTCACATAGGCACATACTCATATCAAGTGTAGTCTGTTAATATTTAATTATTTTAATTGTGTAAATGATTATTAAAATGAATTTATATATATACTCTAATCACATAGCCTATTGACCATTGCGCCCCTAAGGTATAGATTGTTTATTTCAAATAAAAAAAAAAGATTAAAACCAAAGTATGGGGAATAAAACTATGGAAATACAGTAAACATGTGCAATATATTTTTTAGCTGTGTTTAACGAAAATGACTAGAAAACATTTGTGTATACCTAATATTTTAGAATGTCGTAATTAACTACAACGTAAGGTCTGTTTTTTAGGCAGTAGAAACAAAAACATTATCTGTAGTCTGTATTCCTGGTCCTGAATTAGGTATTTTATAAACTACTCACAACTCACCTATAATATATTCAAATAAATATACGGATGAAATTACAAATAATAATTATTTATCCATTTGAATTCTTGAATTATATCTAAAAAAATATGTTTATAAAAACCCTTTTAAAGATAAATATAGACAATAGTATATACAGTGTTGCAGTTATCATTTTATTAGAAACTGTGACAAATGTACGGGAGCCCGGTCCTAAGGACAGCATTTAGATACAAAATAAAAAAACAGACACCAACTACCGGTTGCTACATGACCTTTTTTAAGTTACATTTAACCATTTAAATAACATTTTAAAATATAATAAACAATAAAAATGTATAAATATTAACTACCTAGGTACTTAAATAGTTAAATTTAAAAAAAAATCAAGGAGTTGATTGTAAGGATGTGTCCATTTTTCTTCAAAAATGAGATACCGTTTTCCTCCACAAGAAAGATTAAATTCCATTTGATTAACATTTTTTTGAACTAAATTTATGACCATTTTCCTTCATATATTAAAATATTAATTTGATATTTTAGCCAGCAAAAGTTTTTTGTACTCTCGTTTACTCGTGTACTTACCAAGTATTAATCTGTTATAAAGGGAGAATATTAGAGTACCTAACAGTCAATAACATCTTAACGTCGTAACTTTGAATAAGCCTAAATAAGACATTATTATTTATAATTGTTAATAACTCAAAGGTAAATGTTTTATTTTGGTTTATATAATATGATTAAAAATATAAAATGTTGCTATTTATTTTAGACAAAAAGATAATAAAATTATAAAAGAAAAATTTAAAAAAAAAAATACAATTGTTAATAATTCAAAGGTTATTTTATTTTTTTTGTTATTATAATATGACTTGAAAATATAAGTATTTATTGTATAGGTACTTAATTTCTTATTGAAGGAAGATGGTCGAGATTTATTTATTTATTTTTTGAGGATAATTAATAATGCATTGTTTCTCCATGGAGAAAAATGGTATCTCATTATTGGAAGGAAATGGCTACTGTCGATTGATGTGGAGTGTAGGTTCCCCCTCCGTATCAAGAGTTTTATACAAATAATTAAATTTCTCTCCTTTCCTTGTTTGAGCTCTGACTACTTATATTGGTTTAATGCATAATATATTGGATAAATTCCATATTAAGTATTCAAGTCTAATACTGTAGTCTCTAATATATAGTAGCTAGTATGAAAACCAAATTTTCTGTTTCAAAATTGAATGATATAAAAACTGTATGTAATAAAATGATAATACAAATTATACTAGATAGTTATAATCAATGGTATAAACACTACAGTAAGAGTGGAATATGTAAATTGCTTATTAATCATTCTATAAATTTCCACTATATCCGCAAGTCGCCAAGTATGATAAGAACTAGATTTTTTCGGTATAATTACCTAATGGCGATTACCATTAATTATAAACCTACCTATGGTTTCCTTATGGCCAGAGAGGAGTCTCCCATTTGTCAAACCTGTGGAACTGCATTAACCGCCAAACACCTAATAGCCGACTGTTTTTAATGTACAACCAAGAGGCAAGAACTCGCCGAGCATAGGATATCCCACAACTTAGACACCGCACTCAAACCCAACCATGAAAAAAACCTAGACATAATTAATTTTTCAAAACAATCAAAATTGTTCAATCGTATATATAAAAAAAAAATTTTTAACCTAATTATATAACTTATCTTTGTATCTAAATTCTAAGCACATAATCTTATATCAATTTGTAATTAATTGTAACTTATGGCCTTTGTTGTCAATGTTATTTTGATCAATAAAAAAAAAAAAACCTGCCTACTAAAGGTATTATAAACCTTACTATGTATAACCAATATTAAAACTAACTAAATATAAATATAAAATCTAGTTGACTCTAGATATAGTTTAGATAAAGTTTAATTTATGAAAATGCATTTACCGCGTTGATTTATAAAAATAAATGGCAAATGCCTCGAGCGTATAAATTAATTTATTAGAAGATCAAACTCGTAATCACTGAGACTATGACCCACTTTCCTCAATTTACGCTGATTTTGACCACTCCTCTCAAGGTTTTATATTCAATTTTTTGACATTCTACAATCTGATTTAATTAATTAATTTTTTATTTATTCGTGTTTTTTTTGCAAATATCCTCAAATTATTCCATTGCGTACTCAATCACGAAGCTTTGTTAATTTGATTAAAACGTTAAGCACCTAGGTACTTCCCTAAAAACGCTTATATCATCAATAGCTAATAGCTCATAAATCATAATATATCTCATAAGCTCAATTAAAACAATACTACACGTCTACACGTTTTATTCATATTTTATTTGCATAATATTCAGTCAATCTAATAATTAAATTGGTAGGTATTATATATTTATATTAGTTACATACGTAATATTAACATTATTAACATAAATAATACGTCAAACTTGTGAATATTTACTGTGTTATAATACGTATTATAGATAGGATAAGAGAAAAAAAATCCAACAACACTCTGACATGTATAAGAGTATAAGACATCTACTTAGATCACTTTTTAGTTTTCACTTAGTAGTTAATAGTTATTACATAGGATTGTATAATAAAATAATACAAACAAAGTATTAATTGTACCTGTACGTCCTATTGGTTTTTATAAATTGTTCAACATTAATTTTACAACATTTTAATACATGGGGCACTTTAATCTTGGGCGTGACTTGAAACAGTCTGGTTTTTAATTAATCAAATATATATAGGTACTATACTCCCAAGATTTAGGAATAAGACAACCGTTCTTGAGTTAAAATATCTTTGCGTGGGTACCTATTTGTGATACTAAACATTGGTTCTCAAAATGACAAAATCTTATCAATCAGGTGATTTTTCATAAAAAAATCGAAAAAATATATTTTAATATCAACATTTTAGGCATTTTGTAATCATTAATCACTAATCACCATTAAAAGTGTTTTAGATTTGCATGAAGAATGTCAAACAATAAGTTTTTTATATTTTTGACAGTAGTTCAAAAGAATATTTATTTAATTCAAAACATATAAAGCTGGTAAGTGGTTGTCACTCTGCTGTACAGTAATGATATAATTTTATCTTTGTAACTGTACGAAAAACGATTCTGATAGGAGACGGTTTGTCAGTCTAAGATATTCTATATTATACTAAATTGTTATTTCTTATTATTAATACGGTAGCCGGTTTTGGCTGATTTGTTGAATTAATATTATAAAATTACAAAAAATAACTAAAAACGTTATTCTTGGTTATTTAGTATGTAATTTCGTACACATTTTTACTTAAAGTAACTATAAAAAAACTGGGTTTATATATTATAATATTTTTAAAAATTTTTTTACAGAATTAACTACTTACGTGCAACTTTGTTTTAAATTTTCAATATACTTAGCTATAAGAGTTGAACATTTCATACATTTTTAACAATAAAATAATTTGTAAATTTTCAATTTGACAAATTGTGTCAAAATTTGAACTTTAAAAGCTTATAAAA